AAATATAAATTTATAAGTTAATATTATTTTAAAAATATCAAAAAATTTATTTGTATTCAAAATAAATATCAATATCTTTAAAAAAATATTTAATATAAAAGTAAAATATAAAAAGTAAAAAAAAAGTAAAAAAACAAAAATAATAAAATTTAAAATTTATTTAAATATTATATCTTTTTATATCTATAACTTTTAAATAAAAATTTTAGTTCTTTTTTATATTAGATATTAAGATTTTTAATAATTAATAAAAAATAGAATCATTATATAGTCAGATTATATAAATGCTATATTAAAGAGATCAATAGTGATCTGTAAGGTCTTCTGATTGTCAGATATTAATAATAATAACTTTAAAACTATTTTTACATCAATTCTAAATTCTACTTATATAAATAATACTATTTAAATTATCAATAAGTTAAGCAGTATTTTTAACATTACTCAGTTTTTGTTTAATAGTTTAAATTTGATTAGCTAATAATAAAGATTATAAAATAATAAAATAGAAATTTATTTAGTTTAAATTTGATTGGTTGATTATAAATGATCCTATAATGACCAAAATATTCAAATCAATTTTATTTTATTATTAAATATATTTTAATATAATAAATTTAATAAACTTCATTTATTTTTAATAATTATTAATTGTCAAAATATTTTAAGTTTTTAAAATATTTTATAAATAATTTTATACTTATAATTTAAAGGATAAAAATATTTTACTCTATAATTAATTAATTATTATTTAACTTTAATTATTAATTTTATATTTAATTAAAAAAAAATTAAATAATTAATATTATATTAATTATATTATTATAAATAAATAAGTAAAATAAGATAAAAACTTTGATAAAGAATTAATTTTAATTATATTTAATTTATATATGATTATAGTCAACTCTTGATGTAACGAACTCTTAATATAACGAATTTTTGAACTAATATAATAAAAATACTCTTGTTAAAGTGAATTGACTAATCAAATCTCTCAAAATCTTCACTATAGCCTTATAGCAAAGTTGAGGTCTAGGACATAGAGTTTGTTATAATAAGAGTTAACTGTATATTTAATCATAATTTAATAATATTCTTTATAAATAAATAGATTATGCTATTTTATATTAAATATATTTTACTTAAATAATAAATATATATAAAGTAAAAAATTTTAAGTAAAAAATGCTTACTAATTAATATTAAATATAAATAAAAAAATAAAAAATTGCAATAAATTATATATTTAATTATATAAATAAATTAATAATTTAAGTGAATTTGTAATAAGCCTGTTCAATTTTGGTTGATACAAATTTTGATGCATCAAATGCACCAATAAAAAAACTGATGCATGTGATGCAAACTTGCAAACTTAAAAATCAGATTTTGATTGGCTAATTTTGAGTGCACCAAAAAATTATCTATCAAAATTGAACACCTCTAATATGCTTTTTTTTTTTATAATATGATAATTTATAATATTAAATTATCCTAGTTATATAATAATAAAATTTCACATTTTTAATATTTTAATCATATTTTAAATATAATTAAATTATATAAATACTAGAAATATAATGGATATATAATTAGTATATAATAAGTATATAATAGATATAAAGTTTATATAAATTAGTTTATTATAATATATTACAAATTTTTATAATATTATTAAAAATTAATTGATAAATAGGTTATTATTAATAATAAGATAATATTAATTAATTTTAATAGATTTATAATTTATTTTAATTATAAAAGAATATAAACTTTATTAATATAAAAATTATGAAAAATAAACTTAAATTATAAAAGTTATAAAAATAAATTAAATTGTGTTAAAAATTTTTTATTAATAAAAGAAATATTTAAAGATAATTTTTTAAAGAATTTATTTTAATATAAATTATATAGTTTTTCCAAATTAATCTGCCAAAAATCTTTCAAATATAGGTTTCAGAGGTTTTAAATAGTTTCAGATTATAGAAAAATTCTTGGATAAAATATTTTGGATGTTGAAAAATAGTTTTGCCTGAAACACTAATGAGTTTATTTAAGTTTAAATTTAATTATTATATAATAACTTAGATTAATTAAACTAAAATTAATTTAATTTAATTTAATAACTAACTAATTTAAACTGTTTTTAAACTCTCTGTATAAAGTTTTAAAAAATATTATAATAACTAACCAATTATTTTAAATTATTATTTTATAAGAAAATAATTTTATTTTTATTAATTTTATATTATTTTATATTTATATATTTATAAATTAATATATATTATAATATAAATATAAAATATTTTAAATTATAATATTGTTAAAATTAAATGATAGGCTTACTATATTAATTTTTAATAACTTATTTGATTATAATAAATAATACTTTTTTTTTATGATTTAATGTATAAATCATAAAGTTTAACTTATTTAATTGATTTTAATTTTTTGCTATTTATAATTAATTAATAATTTTTGCAAATTTATATAATTTTGATCTTTTATATTTAACTCTTAAGCTTAATTTATTTTAACTTAAAGTTTATACTATACTATTTACTAATTTTAATTAGCTTTTTTTAAAGTATAATATATTTGTATATTCACCTATGATAAATTCATTTATTCATTTTAACCAGTTAGATATCCTAATATTATAGATATCATTTATGTTAAACCAGTTGATTGGAAAAGATTGTCTTTGAAAAAAAAAAAAACGAGGAATATCATTTATCAACTTATATATAAATCCTAGCTTTTCATACAAATATGTAAATCATCAAAAATTATAAACAAGAGAGTATGGTTTAGGTTTTTTTTTATTTCTGTTGCATGATTTGTGTATCATATGTTAATATTATTTTATAAAATGGTTAAAATAATTAATTACATTAAAGAAGGGATAATAAAATAACAGAACTCATTGTTAAGTCACCATTTTAAAATTTGACAAACAATCGGATGAATTATGAAATTTTTTTTTTTTTTTTAAAAAAAAAGAAAAATTTATCATCTGATGTTAAAATTTTTTTTTTTTTTTTTTTGAAAATAAGGTTTGTGAACGATATCTAAAGTTGCGCCTTTAATCAATTAGAAATTCAAATTCTGATTAAACCATTTTTTACCATTCATTTGTAAATTTCTATTCTTTTAGTTCACATATTTGTTCTTCATTTAGGAAGGAATACGATGCGCGTCATTCTCATATGACACAATACAAATTAGGATTTGATTTTGATAACGATAAAAAAAAAAAAGATTTTAGGATATTCTTTAAAGATGCAAAAATTTTCACGCATAATATATAAAAAAATATATATTTATTTATAAATATTCTTCTTTTAGACACCAAATAACGCAAGTCTGGATATGCAATTACTTATTTTGTATTTATAAAAAAGTTCTTAATCACCAAGAGCTATTTCATAATATTGTCATAGTCAATCCATATTAAGCACATCTATTAGAGAACGCTTCAGAAATAATCAAATGAATTACTACACAAAGTTTGCTGTATATTAACATTAAATATTTCATATATTTAATCATTTAATCATTTAATGCATATAATTTTATTATTAAATTCCAAGTCTTATTGTAAAATAATTTATAGATGAATACGCAGTTGAGATAATAATATTAGGCATGTATAATATTAAGTAGAATGTAATTAAGTTTAAAATCAAAGTTCTGGTTGATTGTTTTAAACAGTTTTTTTTTTTTTTCGCTTTATATCCATATTAAAAACGTGTTACGTATCATAAAATCTTGTTTGTTCGCATGATTGATCCGATTTTCACCGGATTACAAAGATGTGGGTAAAATTAGTAATATGTCCTCATTACATTTAACGTTGCAAATAAAAACACCACATATGGGTTGATTGCGAGGAGAATAAGATTCTGGGAATTTTGAGACTTTTATTGCATTTTAATTTCAAAATTTTCCCGGAACCTTGATCCTTCCGTATCTTATCCCTTCATCTTTGCCCTGAAATGATTTTCTCAGTATAAAATTTAAAGTATGCTATTTCTGGATAGATTTCGAAGAAAGAAAACCTAAAAAAAAAAGAATCAGATAATAGGACTATGTGTGTGTATTGAAATAAAAGGATCAAATAGTGGTTTTTATTTTATTGTCATTAAAGATTAACGCGTGGCGCGTCATTTAACAATAGGTTCTATCAATGAAATTTCTTATGAAGTCTCGGCACAATTTTGGTTCAGCCACTAAACTATATATATTTAACGATGCTTTAAGAATACGAAAAATACCGCCGCGGAAGAATAAACGGAATATTCTTTCCGTCTATCCCTAAATGATAGGACATCCTTTTATTCAACCAAATCCTATTGTTTAAAAAATTTTTTTTTTTGTTTCGTTTGGAAGTATTAGTAATGTTTATGAAAGGATTGCATAAAATCATAAACCTTGTTTCACAAATGAATTTCTTAAATGCTTTTTTTTTTTAAAATTATAATTTTTTTAGTTAAATTTAGAAAAATACTGTGATACAAAAAAAATATATGGTTAATTTAATTAATTTCCCATCCCTAAATGCTTTCCATTCAACATGCAACATTGCACATCAATTTTTTTTTTTTTATTAAAACAATATCTGGTCATTACAACACCTCCGAATAATCACCTCATATTCTTCACATCCCCCCTCCCCCCAAATAAAAAGTCTACAAATATTGTTGCATGATTAAATCTTACAAATCATTGTGTTGGTTTTCTACAGAGATTTTTCGTTTTTTTTTTTGATTCTATTTTGAAATAGATATAAAAGCTTTTTAGAAGGAAAAAAATAAAATTAAAAAAAAACTGGGATTATTTCATTCATTATTTTTATTTTATTTAGATCAAATAAAGAATATTCATAGTTATAAACAAGTTATTTATTTTGAACATTACAACAAACACCCAGAACATTTCTTTTTTTTTTTTTTTTTTTTTTTTAAAACTATTATACTCGCACATTCTTATAAATGGCAGCAATTTATTATTGTAAGATTTGTGAGAAACTTATTGTGGATGAAGATGAATTACCGACAGTGGGAACTTATTGTTCAAAGAAATGTGAAAAAATCTTTGAAAAATTTGGGTAGGTTTAATATTTATTACTATGTACGTCTACGTTAAATCGTACATCATTTATTTTATTTTATTTTATTTTATATATTTAATTTTAATTTTTATTTTATTTTATTTTATTTTTTGGTAGTTTGGATAAAGGTATAAAAGAATATGAAAGGAGGGAAAAGGTCAGAAAAGATCGTTTATCAGTACATGTTGATGACGATGAAGTCGAAGTACCATCATCGTCACAAACTAGAAACTTACCAGCAGAATTTGCTCCTGATAACGGAGAAGCAAATCCTAATCGAAAACAAATAAAAAAGAAACTCTCGGATAGTAATAATCGTAATAGTAATAACAATGAAGAAAGATCTCCAAAACCTTCAATTTTTGCTAATATGTTTAATAGAAATAAACGTGATGAGACTGAAGATGAACCTTCTTCTCAAGACGATTTAAAGAAAAAGAGAAGTGGCAAGAATGATCGTAAATCTTTAATTGATGCACTTCCTTATGAAGATTCCGTGGAATATTTGAGGAAGCAAGTTAATTCTGATGGAAATACCCCAAGAGAAAGAAGTCGTTCAAGAATAGAAGAACCGTCTGACAAAAGTACATTTCAAAATAATAATAATAATATTAATAAGAAATCGAAAGAGCGGTCAGAAGATCTATTAGAAGAACGTTCGAATGAACGATCACGACGATCTAATAACCCTTCTACCATTGACACAACACACACACCCATATACACACCCACCATTACACCCACTCCTACCATCATTGCTACACCCACCATTACACCCACACCCACCGCCACCACCACCACCACTCCTATCACACAAAATCATTTAAGTACATCTACTACTACTCCTCTTCCTGTCGAGAATCAATCACAAACGGTACCGACTTATCCCGACGTAAAGCCAAATAAACATGAAAATTATATGTTTGAAGATAATATTTACGATGAGCCTCCTCCTTCATATGAATCAATTTGTTCACCACAAGCTGCTAATGTAGATGAAAAACCATTGACTTTTGAATCGTCTGATGAGAAAAAAACGAGCACTACAGAGAGAACTGCAACTAATAATACAATGAATACAGATAAAAGGAGCACTATTAGTAGTTATACCACTGCCATTGTTGCTGATGATTCTGCCACTAATGCTGCCATTAATACTGCTACTGATACTACCGATAACACCAATACTCCTCCAAAAGTACCTCCGAAATTACCTCCGAAAGTTCCTATTTCGAACGCTCCACCATTGATGAATACACAACCGCATATACAACCTCCTAATCAATTTTTTCCGCATAATAATCAACAACGTCCTTTCTACCCTACTATTAATCAACAAAATGTTTTTAATCATTATGGTAGAAGCAGCAGTTCTCCTCAATATCAATTACCACTTAATGTTAATAATTTTGGTGCCAGCCATAGTCATCCTTCCACATCTTCCACACCTGCTGATAGATTCTTGAATGAACAGGCAAATCTTCCCTCGACAGTTTATCCTCCTCCATTTTATACAATTAAAAAATTTGGCAATAATACATAACATCATATATTTTATTTTTGGGTGGGCTCTTTTCAAAGAAAATCACGCAAAAAGATCTCATATAATCTTATTATTCTCTGCATACATGTAATTAACAACAAATAAATTATATTAAAAGAACAACTTTGCATTTCTATTTATAAACTTTCATTTCTAATAATATATACGATCAATGATGTTTGTTGCCGATGAAAATCTTTGTTCATATTTTTAGGCCAATAAAATCAATAAATCTTTTAGGTAACCATAGGCGGAAATATAAATATAAATGCATCTTAATGGTTTCCCAACCTTTTTTCTACGTTGTAATGTTGTAACCTCCTCCGTACACTCCGTACACGAAAAAAAAGAAATATTTCAATCTTTTTAAATTTTTTTTTTTTTTTTTTTCATTTAACTTTCTTGTTTTTAAAATGAGGAAAAATTATTGCGTAGTTTGTAAAAATCCAGAAGTTTTGACAAATAAAAAAACTGGGGAAGAATTAAAATATTGTTCAAAAAAATGTAGAAAAGTTTCCGTCAAAAACGGGTTATTAGAAGCATGTATTAACTGTGGAATTTACCCTAAATTATTAGAATATGACGATTTACTCGAATATTGTGACGATGATTGTAAATTAGAATTGAACAAAACAAAACCAACTACTACTCAAAAGAAATCGAATGATCGAAGAAAACAAGATAGCGGTTACGGTGAAGATGATGATTTACCTCCAACTTATTACCCACCCTATGGTTTAAATAAATCACCTGATTATACTTATTATCATAATGACTTTGAAAATGAAAAGCAAAATCAGACAAATCATTCATTATCGTCTTCATACTCAAGTCATTACAAAGCTACTTCTACTTCATCTTACGCGAACGAATCTTACTCGGCTGTTCCGGCTGTTGCGCCTACTCCACAAATCATTTACGTTCATGCTCCACCACCTCCTCCACAAATAATTCACATTCATCACAATCACATTCCGCCTCAACCTAATGTCTATCCGAATCACGTTATTCAACCTCATAATAATCAGAATGGAAAAAATTCCACCATGAATACAGTGGCTAAAATTGGCGGTAAAATTGCATTGAGTGTTATTACGGGTGGTATTTCTGATATTATTACTGGACAATTCTAATAAGTATTATGTTGCCAAATATTTATTTATTTTATTCATTAGCTCTTTATTTCGAGTAAACATTCATTAATTCTTATTTATATTTTATTATTTTGAATTGTAATATTAGGTTTTTATTTTTATAAAATATGTATATATCTTCCTTGTGTTTTAATAAGAATGTCCTATAGTAGTTTTGTGTTTTTTTTTTTTAATAATGATCTATATATATTTTAAAATTTTTTTTTTAAAAAAAGAACTTTTTTAAGATTCAATATAGTAAAATATATAATATAAAATAATAAATAATTATTATTTCTATAATTAATTTTATCTTTATATTTTAATTTTTAAAATATTATTTAATTTATGTTATATTAAATCAATTGTTTATATAGTTATTTTCTATATAATATTATTCTGTTATAGATATATATTTATTAGATTAAAAAGAAATAAACTTATTAAAATTTTATTTTTATAGTTTATTATATATATGCATTGTTAATAAATCACATTATAAATTATATAATCTTATATATAAAATTGCTTATCTAAATTTACAGTCATTCTTGTTATAATAAACTCTTTGTCCTAAACTTCAACCTCGCTATAAGGGGCATGCCAGAAATCAGCTGATTTCACTTTATTATAAAGCCAACCCCCTACCTGATAATCAATTTTGATTGGCTAAAAAAAATCATATATAAAATAGTTAAATTAGAATAGTTAAATAGTAAGTAGTCAAATAAATAAAAATAAAATTAATAAATAAAGTTATCATTCGATCCATAAGTTCCTTTTTGCTATTATTCTAAAATCAATATAAAAGAATTAAGACGCGATTTATTTGTATAACAATTATTTATATTATGCATTGAGGTGATGATTAATGCAATGTGATGTGTATGAAATCCTTGGAAAATCCATAAAAAAACGTGAAAACGTGCTCTTACATTCTTCTTTGCATTCTTTTTTTTTAAACCAATATGCAAAGTTTTTTGAAAGCACCAAACTTTAACAAAAACTTTTTTTATAAGCAACCCAAGATAAATATCAAGAATTTTGCAATGAATATGCATATTACAAACAAGCAATACTTTGTGACCCTAAGCCAATTCGTCAAAGAATAATGCAAAAATGTGTAGCAGCTTGAAAGGAAGTTAAAAAAAATGATAATGCCTTTATTGAAAATAAAATTCAGAAATATTATGACACTACATCTTCCATTATTCGCTCTCATCAAAGAATTTTTATGTCACATGATTCAACTAACAGTTCTCGTCAAACCTCCACTCCATCCACTCCATCCACTCCAAGACAGTTTGTTGATACTACAACAATATCACCAAATGCTAAATCACAACATATTGTAGCTGAAAAGATTAATTCAGCTGTAAAAAGCCTAGCTGAATATCAACGAATGATAGAGATCGCTACAGATGACTCAATGAAAGTTTTGTTATCGTCTAAGATAATTGAAGAACAAAAAAATATATCAATACAAAATGCACAGCTAACAAAGCTGAAACGTCATGCTGAAGCTCAATCAAGGCTAGCAACAAAAAAACAGAAATTGTTAGAAGAGGGTATTATAGAAAAATATGATACTTCAGAAAGATTATTCGCGGTTATAAAAGATCCAAATCTATGGGATAAAATCCATGACAGTGTTGAGTTTGGAGCTGCTCATGCTAAACGAAGAAAAGTGGTCATAAAAGTTAGGACTGTGAAGCATTTACGTGAAACTCTAGAAGAAAAATATAATACTTATTTATCTCATCAATGCTTATCAACTTATCTTCAACCCTGAAACCAGCGCACCTTTACTGCACGTCGTCATCATCATCTAACAAAGGTTGGTTTTGCCTTCGTATTATAGACAAAAATGAAACCTCATATTGATAAACATTACTGTCTAGCTTCCGTCAAAGTCGTAAGAGTATTTGCTGAAGTTTTTGCTGATGAGGCAATTATCATCTCCCAGGATGATAAGGCAAAGGTTGGATTGGGCATTCCTGCAGTTAGTCGCACGTTCAAAATAATCCAGTCAGTTAATGAATTAGTAACTATCAAAGATCACGATTTTCCAACTGGTTCAAAAATGAAACTCATACCTTCCGTTTATTTAGTCATTAATCCAGCTGATTCGAGCAATACTCTTCGTACTGGTCAGCTTTTCATATTCATTAGGCCAGAATATTTCATTGGAACTTCATCAACAACCCATATAGTAGATTTAGAAAGTATTGTTTCGAATGAAGAGTTTTCCACTATCCTAAAGAAAGAAGGCAAAGTTAGACCTATTTGGATTCTTCTTGTTGATAGTGGACCTGATGAAAACCTGAAGCATATGAAAAATATTATTCAATATGCTCACCTTTTCTGTGCCCTTGATCTGGACTACTTGACGATTCGTATTCATGCTCTAGGTCAAAGTGCATATAATCTGATCGAACACAGTATGGCTTCTTTATCTGCAAAATTTGCTGGTATCACTCTACCTGTAGGGGAATTCAGATCACATATAAATAGTCAAGGGAAAGTAGTAGATGAAAAATTAGCACGACAGAATTTCGAATATTTGGGAAAAAAACTACGTGATATATGAAAAAGGGATGACATACATGGAAAACCTATGATGGTGGAATATATCAATCAGGAGAGACATCCATTTAATGATCCTAAGCCTTCAATATCGTGGGAGTGGATTGAGGATCATATGCAGATGTGTCACTATTCACTAGATATAAGAAAATGTAAAAATAATGAATGTTGTGGTGTATATAGATCTCTAGATGCTACTATCCTTTTAAATGAGAATAATGGATTCCTTCCTCTAACTACAAAAGGAAAAGATGATCACTTCATCAACCCAATTCACGCTCTTCAATATTATGATAAACTCAAAATTCCAAAGTACGATAACTGTTGCTCTTTAATTTCACGAGAATTATATTAGCGTTTATGTTATAGCATATGTGGCAAATATTTTCTGACCCTCAAGTTCATAAGTGACTATAAGCGTAGTGTACATTCTAGACGTCGCAATAAGAAATCAAAAAGCCCTCAAGAACAAGCTAACGAGACAGAAATGGGTTGTGTGCTTATTCTATTTAATCTAAATTTTAATATCGCTGAAGATATAGTTCAAAGTAAAGGTATGAGACAAGTTAAATGGGATTCTCGTGAAGTTCAGTTGGACGAAGATTAAAAAAAAGAAGAAAAAGTTGGCTTTTATATTAGTTTTATGTGATGATGTAATAACGTCAGACACTAAAATATCCTTATATATAATATGTGATTCCGTCGTGTTATATCGTAATAAAATATAGGAATTGAATAAAATAATAAAATTAATAAAATGCTTTTTGATTGCACTCGGCATGTGAATATTATAATTCTGACCAATCATTTTATTCGGCATGTGATTTTTGCTAATATTTTTAGCCAAATCAAATTGACCAATCATTTTACATTAAGTATATTACGTGATTATACTCATCTGATATAAAGACCGACCCCACCCCCCTTTAAATCAGCTGATTTCTGGTATGCCCCTTAACTGATAATTTACTATAATATAGTTTTACGCTAGAGAGGCATAGTTGTCTGATGAATGTCAAAGGATTTGATTGGCAATGGTCATAGCCTCTAATAAATTCTTCACACGATTTGAAATGACTGCAAATACCACCCCTAATTTGCACAAAGCAGTGGTTTATCACTTTCAGGAAGAAATTCATTTTTTTTCAAAAATGCATTTAAGTATACAGATTCAGGCTTTCCAGGATCTCTTAACTGTTTGAAAGAAATTGCTTCTTAAATCCATATAAGCAATTGCCTTACCCTTTCCTCATTTTTTTCCAGTAATTTAAATATTTGAAAAATGTCTTGTGCACCTCTATTTTTTACATACCCAGTTACATCTTCACTAAATATGCATAAATTTTTAATTTCAGTAGGACAGATGCAAAGCATAATCATTACATCTGCTAGAGCCTATTTATCGAATATATTAGATACATTATACTTATCTAATCTTTTCTTAACTGATTCTAATAAAAAGTGATTTGAAAAATCAATCCCTTTATTTTTGCGTTGCTCACTACATTTTTTTTTGAATTTTATTAGATTCTTTGGTTATATCCAGAATCTTTGTAGCAGAAATTATTTTTTTTAGAGCATTGAGGTTTTACAATTTCCTTTAAAATCTAAAGAGATAGTTTGAGTCAGCGACAGAATTAGAGGCAGTTTTGACTAAGGTTCTAGATACACTTTACATCTCTTTTACTAAAATTTTCCTGAACAATATGCTGAGCCGTTTCTTTAATAGTCTTCCCTTCTAGGGTATTATTAGACATTAGGTTTATATTCACTTCAGCTTTTGGGGTCACTACCAGTACTTGACTTATGTACTGCTATTTCTCTGATCAGGAATTAATACGAATGCCTGTTTTTTGCTAAATTGATATTCTTTTTGGAGATGATTATGAACCTAATGTCTTTTCTTTCTATCATCTCTCAAGAGGTTACGCATTTCTGGTATATACTGATTGAGCTCTTCTATACTCTCTCAGTGGTGAGTTGATTGTTTATAACAAACTTAATTGTAATTGCAGATATAGTGTGGTATGTAGAATATATATGGTAGTTAGATTAATCTATGATATTTAGATTATATTAAGTAAGATAAAGTTCAATTCGAAAATTTCCTCAGAACTATGTTTTTTCAGAAAGGAAATATCAGAGATGATTCTTGAAAAGATTAAGAAGTGAAAAAATAATGATATAACATATACAAAGGTTTTTACCCTAAGTGTCTTCTGCTGAAACCACCTGCTATAGCCAGAAATAGGTTTTACATTAATTTGAAATTTACGAGTAGATAGGATAAAAGAAAAAAATACATAGTCATGGAACTGCCATTCTAAGGCTATAAACTAATTATTTCTATTGAATCACGTTTTAGTAAAATGCTTGTGTTAGTGCTAATATATGTTCCAGTCCTAAAACATTTG